GGGGCTCAAACTCAGAACCTCAGGATTCCAAGCTCTATACCCTAACCACTAGGCCACCACTACCCTGAATTCCCCAGGATTCTTCTAAAATGTTAACTGATTTCTGTCTCTAAATGATCCAACAGGCCGCTTTTCTCCCTTTGAAACGTCAGAAGAAAAAATCTAAAACTAAACATCATCAGGTTGACATCAATATCTGACATTATTGTTGCTGTTATGGCATAGATGTCTTATTATTCAAATATTTTTATTGGATTTTGAATTGTTCATATAAAATAACAGCCAAACAATAACCCCTATATTAAAAATAAACTCCAATAACACTGTCAAAAAAAAACAAAAAATTTACAAAAAATAATAAAATAAAAATAATATTGACATGTTACAGTAGGGTTACAGAGTCTATGACTTAATTATGTCCCAGAGTTTCCAACAGGGAATTGTAAGTGAAAATAATTTAGAAACGGCTGCCAGACTTTATAGAACCTCCGGGTTGATCCCCTGATCTTGTGCTTCATTTTCTCGAGTTTTAATTGAATCATTACATCCTCGACCCAGCAGCTATATGTGGGAGGCCTCTGACTTCCAGTTATGCAAAATGAGACGTCTGGCCAATAGGGATGAAAATGCAATGGCATCTAATTTTGGACCAGATATAACCATCTCAGCAGGAGCCACACCAAATATGGCAATTTCGGGGGCAGGGCTTATCTCATGGCGTAGATGTCTTAACAGAATCATTTAAAACAGAAAGCGGACTGTATATCAACTGTTTCATTAACGCAGAGTCAACATTCATATCCACAGCACATGGATATGTTTAGCGATGGGAAGGTTAGACTTTTCTGGGGCCTTTTATCTCTTTACAGATGTGTCACAATCTTCAAAATGATCTCTTTATTTAAGGACAAAAAACCCCAGAATGTTCTTTTTTCAGGTTCTTTTGACCGAGACACTTGTATCCTGTAAGTGTGCATCCTTGCACATACATCTTGTAATTAGCATTTGCTAGGAAAAAAATGGAAAAAAATCCTGTATTTTCAGTTGAATTTACATACTAAGAAGTTAATTAATGCATAATAGGGGTGGAACGGTTCACAAAATACACGGTTCGGTTAACGGTTTCGTGGTCACGGTTTTCGGTTCGGTTTATGTTGATTGTTAGCCTGACATGTTGGTC